AATATAAGTCTCGTGAGGAGCCATGACCAGGTCTTTGGAGGAGAGTGGCGGGAAAGTCACCCAATTATCAGATTCGGTAGCTTTCTTCAAAAGTATAATTCCTGATACGAGAAAAGCCATTGCATCAGCTGAAAAGTCCATTGACATATTAGAGAATAAATGCCAGCATCTGGAGGATATTATTTCTGCTAAGGATAGGAAAATTATCGCTCTTGTTGATCAGATCATTTCCAAAACAAAGCATAATGACGTGCTATAGAACCGGAAATATATTCTAGTACTTGTGAAAGGAAATTATGGGCGAAGAGGCGTAGTGAATCTGAACATGATCTAGAAACCAGGAAAAAATATACATTTCGTCTTTAGTATCTAAGAAAATTCTACTCATTAGTGAGAGGTACATCCCAGCCAATGCGTATCCTGTGTGGATGTTCACGAGGTACAGTTAGATCGAAGACAATGAATTTTTGCTCACATAATGCCTTGTCAATAATCTTAATCACACTACGCCAGTCATTAGCATATTGACGTACAATTCTGACTAGTTCATCTGTAGTGCAGGATCCGTTAAATAGGCAGATATGTGTGAGATTTTTTCGTATTATCTTTTGGGCAGTCAAAGTAACTCTGGGATACATATATCGAACTGATGTTATAGTGGCGCCCTTCGACGAAATAAGGAATAATTTTTCTCTTGCACTTTTTTCGGGTCAGCGCATACATCTTCGAATATGGCTACTGTACCTCTATCCGGAGAAAACGAATCCACTTTAGGGATTTTATCTGGCTTCAAAGCTCGGAATGTAATATTTTCATGATAGGGCTTTGGACTATTTGCAATTATCTGATACGCCGATTTGAGATACATATATTTTGGCTTCTTAAGATTGTAGCCGATCAGGAGCAAATCATCATTTTTGATATAACGCATCCCTTCCTTCTTCCCATTAAACATTTGATAAAGCTTATTCCCAAGCATGAGATTAAGAACCTCATTAGTTTTTCCTGAATTGATACGGCCAGTGATTAGAAGTGTGAAAGGCCATTGGGGAACACTCGAATGTCTGCAAAATTTTTGGGCATCTTTAATCTCATTAATATGGTATACAAGCCTATCAACTGACTCAAGTTTTTTTGGTTCATGCTAAGCTAACTATTAATAATGGTATTCTAAAATAATCTTGCAAATTTGCAGGACCGTGCGGTCTCAGAAAAATGCCAAGAAGATAATTCTCTCCAATCTAACTTGAAGAATTTCTCAAGAATCCTTTTTCAATAAGTGTGTACTTAATATAGGGAAAAGGTCACATATGTATGGTACTTTGATAAGTCATATATCTTGGTCCTTGCATATATCCCACTTCTTCTGATCATGCATATTTTGTGATTTAGATTAGTGATCTTAGTTGGTCAAAAATTTTTCAATCGATTAGTTATTTTAATTATAATCAACTAGTTGTAACTAAAAATTCCTATACTCTAATTGGTTAATTTCAAACTTTCCAACTAACGATTTGTAACACTATTTTAGATTTTCATTTTTCCAGTAGTAGAAGCTATTGTGGTGATAGTGTTAAGGACCCTGGAATTCAAATGCAAGATGCAATTTCTCATTATATAAACATACTCATGGAAAAAACAATACAAAAACAATCAAGAACAAACCTGTTAGCAAAGATTCTTAAAGCAACAAATAATATAGGGATAATATATTCAGACTCTTAATGAAGAGATATTTTCAATAGAAAGGAGGTATTTTTTCAATCAAATCATTACCTAATAACCAGATAATATACAATTAGATTATCAAATCTATAAGAAAACATAACATTATATTTATTGATCAACTTATAAAGAAAGAGATGAATATTCTCTTAAATTGGAAACTTATTCAGTTTAGTCAATACCATAGCAGAGAACCAAAACCTTATTGATATAGCAAGATTCAGGAAGCAATAGTTAACAATTTTGAAGTTCTTAATTCAAATTGAAAAAATAAAAAATGGATAAAACAAAAAAGAAGTATTTTCTTTCCAGCTTGTTAACAGAATACAAGAAAATAGAAATGACAAGTATACAAAAAGAAAACAACAATCTCATTTGATATAGATACAAAGGAACAAACAACTTTACTATACAAGAAATCAAGTTTTATCAAGTCACTAATACAAGTACAGGAACAATAAAATTTATTCAAATTAATTTGAATCCATTAAACTTTCACAAAAACAAGCCTATACTTTTATTTAATTGATTGGATAATATCACAAAACAAAAGAAAAGCAAAGAGCCTTGTATTCCTATAGAGATTCATATACTTGAAAGTTTAGCAAGATCAAAGTTTAGATTTACAACTAACTCAAAATCTTTTATATTCAAATTTATTAGAATAGATATAATTGACTACAGGCTATAAATTATTTAAGAAAATATCAAAACAACTAATTTAAGTCAAGAACTAAGTAAAAAGTATAAGCTTAATAAGAACAGTCAGTACAAAGATTTATATCAATTCTATATTGATAGATTAGTAGGAAAAATACAAAATCAATAATTAAAATAGATGCAGCCTGATTACAAATCAAAGGATCAAATTCAGAAAGAAATTTTCAAATTGAAATAGACAATTAGCCTTTACTAGCAAGAGCTAAACTAGTAGCAATTTTCTTGGCAATTTTAACAATATCAAACAAAAGCAAAGTGGAGATCTAAACTAAAAGCATCAACTGTATCAATACATATTAAAAATTAAAAGCTTCTCACTTTGGTTATACAGTACATGTTTAATATAATAATTAGAAAAGAAATTTAAGTTGAATTAATTAAGGTTAAAGTGTATAGTCAAGATGTAGCTAATAATTAAATCGATCAATTAGTTAAATTAGTCAAAGAAGAGCAGGAAATTCATTGAATTAAACTGTCAAAAATCCTGCCAATTTCAATTTCCTCTTGGAATAATATCCCAATAGATACTTCGATAAAACTGTTCATCAAAGAATTGCATAAAAGAAAAATTCTAATACAATAGGTCAATCAAAACAAAATTCAAGCTAGATAAAAGGAGGAAATTCAAAATTCAGAAGAAATTGATTAAAAAGGATTTTGGAAACATTGCAAAGAAGAAGACATATTAAGCATCTTATTTAAACAAATGAAAAATAGAATATTTAAAACCAAACTAATTCATAATAAACTTTCCACTCTAGATAACCTTTCAAAATCTAATGAAACAAGCTATAGTAAAGATATAAAATGTATATTTTGTAAGATAGAGAAAGAAACATTAGATTATTTATTAATATATAAAGAGATAAAATGAAAAGAAAAGAGATGTAATCAATCCTATAAAAAAAATTATAAAGAAATGAATCTTCAAATACTTCAGCTTCAAAATATCAAATCAAAGAGAAATCATTTAGCTCTTAGAATAATAAAAAGAAAAATTAAGTTGGTCAAAAAACTAATCAACTTAAATATGGATTTATAAAAGAATAAAGAAGTTACAGAATGAAAAACAAGCTTGAAAACCATCAAGATTTCTTGTACTCAAGCTAAAAGACTATTATTTAAAATATCTAAAGTATGGTACAAGCTAATGAAACAATATCTATAGAATTCCATATATAAAAAAGTTTAACAAACAAGCAGTCACCAAAGTAACAATCCAAAAAAAAAAAAAAAACAGATTCAAGTGGTTTAATAAGGACATATGGATTCTTTAAGAGAAAAAAATAAACAGATTACAAGAGAATAAAAAAAAGATTTTTGAAAGTATCTCCATTATTTTTCATTCTTGTTAGAAAAAAGAGCAATCAAGTTAATCCATTATAAAACATGAAAGAAAAAGGAAAAGTTATAAACAAGTTTAAAGAAATATGATAAATTAAGATCAAGAAAAGAAAAAGAAGATTAAAAATATAAATATAATTAAGATTTTGTCAAAACAAACTATAGTGATAATCTGCAGACAATGATTTTGATACTTACTTTTTTGAATAAATAAGTAAGAATAAGCAATTTTATTTATTTCCAAAATCATATCTAGTGATAATTTTTTCAAAGATGGATATTCAAGTATAAAATATAGAGTTTGTATATAAAAGTAATTTAACTTCTATATATTTGACAATAAGATTAAATAAACTTTTAATATATTTATTTAATTATAGAAAAAAAATTATTATTATTATTATTTACTTATTATTTTTTTTTATAGTAGAATGGATATTAGATATCAATTATTTATTGATATATATAATATTACAATTATATCAAACATCATCTATTGTTATTACAACAGCTAAATGCTAGCCTATCTATTTTTATATCTGGTAATATACTATTTACCCTTAAGGTATATCATATATTTTCAAAGGGATTTATTTAAGGGATAAAAATTCTATCACTTGTTTTAAACCATTTAACCTATCAGTCCAACTATTTGTAAGGATAGTAAAACACTGTCAACTATTTATCTAAGTTACTTATCATATTATATCTTACTACATATAGCTAATATAGTAAAGGAGTCCTAATATGGATATGTACTCTCTAGTAAATGCTTCTGATACTAATCTATTAATTGATGCAAACTATCAAATCTAGGGAATCTTGTGGCCAAGTGGGACATGACTCCTTAGGGATTATATAGATCATATCAAAGCAAGCTTCTAAGTTTTCTAATCTTCTAGTAGGTACTCTATTTTATAGAACTGGTTGATATAAGTTGCCAAATCTATAAACATAAATATCAAGTAGAATGCAACTCCTACATATACGGTAAGCTATTGAGAAGTCATGTTTCACAAAACATTAGTATCTGTTTGGCGATCTTCTTTAAAGCTTCCTTATTTGACAGTTAATAGGAAAGGAAAATGTCAAGTGGATTTGTTAAGATAGAGTATAGCTCAATCTATATATTCAAATATATAAGTAGTTCTATAGTTACTTTTATAGATGATTATTGTAACACCATTTAGATAATCATCACATCATTATATCTTAATAGGAAGATCACAATCTTAACATCCATTAAATCTGTATATGAAATAGTTTCTTATAAAAAATGATATATAATTGGTTATGATATCAAATATTATATTAATTTTATTTAATCACCTTTATATGGGATTAAATTGATATTTTATGATCTGATCTATAGAACACTAGCTATTATACTATGGATCCATAGATCATTATTATTTAAAATTTTAAGATTTTTTTTTTAAATTTGACTAGTTAAGCCTTACCTGATACAATTATTTATTTAGTTATACATATATATCTTATATATTTTTATATAAGTAATTACTATCTATATACTATTTTAGACCATTACTAATTATATCAGATTTTACTCCTATATTAGCTTATTACTATTGACTTTAAATCCAAAGATCCCTTATCAAGGCTAATGTGCTATGTTTCATTAGTGTCATTATTTTATGTTAAGTTTTATTTCTAACCATAAATATATTAAAGGTAAGTGAAAGGAAAACTGAAGAGTAGTACCTATTTTGATAAATAAAACTCTATAGAGAAAATCTTTTAATTCAGAATGGAATTTTCTGATCACTTGCATAAAGAAATATTAGATATCATGAAAGATAATCATCAAACCATTTTGCTCAAACTGGATATCTTCTATTCTTTTTTATTTTTCAACTTTTCAATAATTATTGTAGCACCAACCAGATAATTGTCATATTATGACATCTTTTCTGAATATTACAATTTTAATATTTATCAGATCAGTATATGAATTAACTTCTTATAAGAAATGATGCTTAGCAGGTTATGGCATTAGATATTATATTAATTTTATTTAATTATCTTCACTTAGAGTTAAACTGATATCTTGTAATCTGGACCTAGAAGCACTAACTATTATATTATTAACCTACAAATCTTTTAAAAATTTAAGATATTAATAATTAAAAAATCTAATATAATAATACAGTATATAATAATTGTTAATTTTAATTATTTTTATAAACAAAATTAATAATAATAATTAATATATAATTAAAAATAATTATTATAAAATTATTTTTTTGTTTTATTTTTTTTAATTCTTACTTATACTAAAAATAATATTTAATTATTTTTTTAAAAAATCAATATAAAATAATTATATTATATTGAAAACAAGACTTTTAATATAAATAAGATCTATAGAATATATTATAATAACAACTAAAGGATTTAAAAAAATAAATAAAAGTAAAATAAAAAAAATCTCAAAAAAAGTTAAAAGAAAGTAATTATTACAAATTTTTTTTTATATAATTTAAGAAATAAACAAAACTTTTAAACTTTTTATTTTCTGTTTTATTTTGATATATTAATATATTTCTTTTAAAATTTTTTGTAATTTTTGTAAAAAAAAATATAAATAATATAAAAAAGTTTGAATAATAAAAAGTAAAAAATTTTATTTTTCTAATTTTTAAAATTTATAAAAAAAAATTAATATATAAAAAAAAATATTATTTAATAAATATTTTTATTATATTTAAAAATAAATATAATAAATTCTTTTTATAACTTAAAAATCAATTTATATAAAATAATTATCGTATTTTTATATAATAAAATAATTCTAAACTAGTATTTAATTCAATATTTTGTTATTTTATCAATTTTACTTATTATATATTTTTTATTTTTGAAAAATAAGTATATCAAATTTTAATTATAACTTGAAGATCTACTTATATAATATAGCTGTAGTGTTTTTACATAATTAGATATATAATAACCTTTAGGTAACTAAATATTATTCAAGACTTTAATATAAATTTTAAATTACTTTCTATTATATTTTTTGAATAGTATTAAAAAGCTTAAAAATATAATCTTATATATAGATCTTGTATTTAATTTTTTTAGTAAAGAGATATATACAGTATATTATCTTTTTTTTTTGAAGGAGCAAATGACTATTATACTTTATTTTATTATTATAATTTTAGACTTGCAAGTAGAAGATTTATAACACATTTATAATATAACATATATCTCTCTTTGCTAGGAAAAATTAAATGCAAGGATTCGCAAATGCAATTCTTCTTTTGTACTTCTTAGCACTACTCAAGAATATAGAAAAAAGAAGTTTAAAACCTATATTATATTTCGAATAGTGTCTAGTTATCTAGAAAAATTTGATACCTAATTATATGAAGGTGCTGCAACCACTATATACAGGTTGGCCTCCAAGTCATAACTAGAATTAACAAGCTTGCTTTCCAAATATAGTTTGATATATGGCAAGCTGAATGTGTTTCACCTTATATTTTATCTGAATAATTTGCTCAATTAGTTAAGTGATTGCTACTCTAGCTTGAACATTTAGTGAAGATTAGTCTTTCATTCAATTACCTAGTATTTAATCTTCTCTATTCTTTTAGAATTGCGACAAATTATAGGTTATCCAAGCCTATAGCAGTTGCCTATACCTGCAGCAAGTAGAAAAGTGGACAATCACTCTTTATAAGAAGTTTTATATGCATAGCCCTACTATTTAAATATTTAAGTAGAATATAGTACAAGTATAAAGCAGGAAAAGATAGAAGAAAAGTGTTTGAACATGTAGTGGTGGTTGTTAAGGAAAGTTATTGGATATAATAGAGTTGGAGTTTCTTATAAATATTGTTATCTAATCTTGTATAATAAGCATATATTGTTGAAGAGATAAGCGAAGAACTTTTGTTGTCATTACCAGCTTATGTTGTGGGGATAACTAAAATCTCTAGTCTTTATATACTGTATTATCTTACTAGGTTTCTCCAATCACCAGCATAAAAACTAATCTAGCTCATTATTAGCTGCATTGACATTGGTTGCTATATCCTTCTGGATACAGTGTGGTATAACTCTTTAGATACTTTCAGATAATAATAGTTATATACTGGTTTCTTAGATATATCTAGTTTAATTATTAATAAGTAAACAACACTGGATTTGGTAATGATGACCATATTAATCTTTTGGAGGAGGTAAACCATCTGTCTTTTTTCTGTAAGGCCATAGAAGAGAGAAAAATTCTGAAGCCCACATTTTAAAAAAAATTACCACTTCTGAATATAGTCTTAAGAAAAGGGAGTCAACTGACCAGGGGTTGATGTTATAGAGAGTGGGTTTGTAAAAGAAAGAAAGGCCTAAAAAGAAAACCTTTAGAAAGAAGGGAAAACCTAACTTTAGTAGAGAAGAGAAAAGAGAAAGTAATAATTAACAACTTACCTTTTCGAGTACACACCGTTTTAGGAAGGATAACTGCCGTTAGAAGGTCATAGCCCGGGGTATCAAAAGGGAAACGAGTGCTGGGAAAGAAAAGAAGAGAAGTTAATTAGTACTGCCCGGCTAAATCAATCATACACACCTCAATTTACCTTTAGTAATGTGAACTTTGGACCGGTGAAGCGACTGACTTGCCATTTTCTGGCCCAACAATATAACAAATAATTATTATATAAATTTTAAATTTTAAATTTTAAAACAATTATATTTCATAATTAATTTGGCATAAAATTTTTATCCAAAACATTTTATTTTACTATCTAATATAACATTGATCAATCAAATAAATATATTTATAATAGTAAATTTTACATTCAGTAAAATTTTTACTAAAGTTAAATGAATACATTATTATAGATAGAATTCATCATAAAATACAAGTTTACTTACTCTATAAAGGTTAATTTACATAATAAACCAAAAACATTTATAAGAAATTATAATTATAAATTGGTGATAAAAAATTTGAAATTTAATTTATTGATAGTAACAATTTTATTTATTAAATATTTATTAAATATTTAATATAAATTTATAAAATTCAATGCACAAATAGTTTTAAAAAAAATAAACAATATTTATTAATTATAGATTGTCTGCTAAGACACTAGTTTTAGAAATAATATAAGTATTAAAATTATAATCAAAATCAAAAAATCGCCGCACGAAATGTAAACCCTAAATGTTATTAATAAATGTTGTTTAAATTAGCAAAACTTTGACTGTATATAAATTTAGTTGTCTATATTATACTTACGTAGTACATAAAAGCATATATGCTTAATAAAATAAAAAATTTTTTATGTAGTAACTTTTACGTTTAAAAAAAATTTGTGATTTTTTCGAGTAAACCGGGACCCGGAAAATTTTTGATGATCGTAACAGTACACGAGAGTTACATGAATTTTCTATTTTTGGCATACATAAAATTATACGTATGCACGCACATTGTCGACCAATTCCGATAATAGTGTGGAATGCAATGGCTTCTTTGGACGTTCCATATCCGTCGGCTTACCAAGATGTCACTTCAAGATCAGAAAATCATATCTTGCCAGAACTCCTTGCCAACAAAATTATAATGATGAAAACGGATACGATATGTTGTCCAGTGGAGAAAAAATCACAGAAAAGACGAAAGAAGAATATTGTAAAATTCATGTTTGGGGCGTCGATTCGCCGTGGAATAGCACTAACACGACGAATGGGGATAATAATTTACGACAGCAACAAACTAGCAACAATATCGAGAGTGAAATCAATACCGGCATTACAGTAGTGCCATTTAAATGTTGTCCTAACCAAAGAAGAATCCAAAAAATGCAGGCATCCTTGGGAAAACTGCTCCGAATCGGTACCTTGGCGGGCACTACATGGACGACAGAAAATCCGAAAACACCGTGTCATCTTATACTCCCAGACAATCACTCTGTTGGAGAAGAAAATTCTTCTTCTGTGTCTCAAATGACAAAGAGTGGTGGAGGTGACGAATTGCATGGATGTAGCAATAATCCAAACAATCCGCTCATGATTGTTGAAAAGATTGCAAGTGAATCTGATTGTCGTCGTGCTGCATCCTTTATTGGTACTGAGATCAAAAGCGAAGTCCCTCCAGGTAATCTTATAAACTATATGAAGCAGGTTAAACGGTATGGTTTCGATCACATCATCATTATTGGTGAGCTTTATTGCGGAATCCTTTTTCTGGACTGTTATGGTCGCATATTTGAATGAGATCCCATGAATCTTTTGTTATGGCCACTTGGGGATTATTTCAAAGGGATAGTAGATGAATTCAATACTGACCAGGTGGCGTGGGGCGCGGCAGACGATGGAAGTGTATTTGAGGTCGAAAATTGTATGTGCAGATTCTGTTCGTTTTTCGTTATCTTAATGTTTTTATAACTATTTTCTTTTCTTCCAGATTTACAGACGAACTAGATAAACACAATACTCATCCTTTTCCAAAGAAAGGCAAGAAAAGTAAGAGCTCGAAAAAGAAGAAGCATCACTAATTCGGGTTTCTTTGTTGTTATCATCAAGGATACGAGGGTTATTTGTTTCATCTTCGTCATTTAATGCTACATTGTACTCAAAGCTTGATTTTTTACCGTGTGAACTCTAGTTTACACCTATTATTGTCATAAAAAAGTAGCCTACATCGTGTTTGAATTTTTTCTAATAGAACTATGCCATCGATTAATCTGTGCAGAATATTTTTCACACATGTATATTTATTCGAATTTTTCTCGGGGATGAGTTATGGTCTCTTTGACACATTTACCTTAATGCATGAAGTGCTGCGTATATATATCGATATACTTTTCACATTATTTTTCCATCATCTTAAAGTTTTAATTTAACAGTAACAGCACATTGAGGATGATCAGTGGAAGTAATTTACAACCCTAACTTATCTGCTCATAATGTTGACATTAGTCAACTTGCCTTTCTCATTTTTGAAATAGCGCCAAAAAAATATCCAGAGTCATTCTTTATCTAACAATAATTTGGACCTTTCTTTATTACTTATTACAAAATAATCGGCGGTTCAGGTATAGCATGAACATATTTTAAATCAAATCTTATAATACATAAAGTGTACTTTTTATCGAAGAATTGTGATTTTTTTGAATAAATAATAATATACCCAGTGTAGATAGCTTTGAATTTTTCACTTAGCAAGGCTCACGAGTTATATAAAAATAAGGATTTTCCCTTATACAGTACAGTATATAAGATCATGGGCAATATTGAATAGTTAGAACATGTTGCACTAGTATATAATAGTAGTTTAAAAAGACAATTAATAAGAAGAATAAAAAATACAATAATAATACTGTATATGTAATAAGCTTATATTTTATACTTTTTAATTGATAAAATACTTGTTTTAAAAGAAACTATTGACTCCAAGTAGGTTTAATAAGGTCCAAAAAAGAAAACTGCAGTATATATTAAGAACAAGTCTACTTTATGAAAAAACAGTATTAATAAAGAAATCACTGGCCAAATATTAATGTGTCTCAAGAGAAGCTTACATAAATAATATTATTATATGGATACTGATTTTAGATTAATATTAGACTTGTTAGAAATAACAATAACAGTATATATTTTTATTGCTATTAATCAGTAAATAAGGATAAGCTAAATTCAGTTTTTTAGAACTGAAGAAATATTAATCACATAACTTTTAATAATTAATATAATTGAATGTATTGTTTTTATATTATAAGTTCTTTGACTTAAATTGCCTTTAAGAAAGTTTAACATTTCTTGTTTTTTGCTTAGTGCTTAGGTTGTTTAATTTATTGATAAAATTTGAATAACAAAAATTCTTTTAATATTTATAAGGTACAAATCCTTATATGTAATTGGATAAAAGTTGGAAAAACTGATGTTAACTTTTTTTTCGAGCTTATTATGATTGTTTTCTTTATTTTTTTTTATTTGAAAAAAAAAAAGCAAACAAGCAAAAGAATTGTTAATAGCGAGTGTATTTTTAAAGTATAGAATATCTTTATATGGCTTTATATATTTGTTTTAGATTCTTCTGTAATTAAAAATGAAGTTTGTCTTTAAATATTCTTAAAATTACTAAAAAGATAATTTTTAAAAATCTGTAGTTTTTTTTATATAATTACATATATTTTCTAAAAATAATAATTATTTTTTTTATTGTAAACAGACATTAAATATGAGACTTTATTTAAATAACTATTTATTGTCATTATATTAATAATTTTTATATTAATAAATTAATTATAGCTTATTATAACAAATATATTGATACTATATTTTATCTCTAAAATAGATTTGTATTAATAATACTAAATATTTAATGTCTATTTATAATAATGAAATTACTATGAAATAAACATTGGTTTATTAATATAATTATATATGGCATTTAGTAAATTCAAAATTGTATTAAATATAATATTGTTATTTATATTTAAATTAAGAAATTTAAAGATAGTTGTTTTTTTTCACTTTATACCAAAAGTTGATAAGATTATTTTTAAGGTAAATAGCTGTTTTCAGACCTTATAAAGGATTTGAATAAGTAATTAAAGATATTTTTTTTTGAAAAAAGTTAAATAGAGTTAAATTTGTATATAACTAGATTTACTAATATATTTTCTATAGGTTTAAATGTGTTGATATAGTTACTAACTCTAATATTTTTAAAATTAAATTTATTATAAGTACAAAAGAAAATATGTGAAATATTTTTTAAAAAGATTTTATATCTGAAATATAGATTATTTGAGTAAAGGTTAAAATAATACTTTTAAAGTTTAAATTGTGTTAAAAGCTAATTAGCAAGAAGTTTAATTCTAAAAATAAACAAAACTCTATATTTTAATTACGTAATTAAAATTATTTAATTTTTTAAAAAAGAAAGTTTGTAAGTAACTAATTGATAAAAAAATATATTAAATGAACTAATATAAGAAAACTTACTTGGGAGGAAAATATTGAAATATAATTTGAAAAGTTTGTTAGAAATATAATAGGGATTTCTTAATTTGTTGATCAAATTACAAAGATCTATTAGATTAGTTTCATTTGTAAAAAAAATATATTTTGTATTTCTATTTTAAGATTAAATATATTTTCTCAAGAATTGGATTTTTATATAAAAAATAAAGGGAATAGATTAAAATTATAGTAACTGCACTTTAAAGCATTTTATAATTTTTTATAAATTTAAAAGAAATAATATATATATATGTTAAAGGTTTTAATTTAATTAAAACAGAAATTTCTTTAAATATATTTAAAAAATCAAGTAGCTTCTTTTTAATAATCTACTTTTATAAGTAAAAAGTTAAAAAAAAAGTTGAAATCATATTTAAAAGCTAAATTACTTGCCAATATTTAAGTTTTATGAAATTGTTTAATTTGAGATAAGCTGCAAACAAGATTTTATTAATAACTATTCTAATTTTTTTCATATTGTTCTGATAATATAGTCAATATTGTTTATTTTAAAATAATTTGTTTAAATTCATTTTCAATATCTTCATATTTTAATTAATATTAACTTTGATTGGATTTTTATTAATAAATATTTTTAAAAATCTTTATTTCTATATCTAATTTTTAAGAAAATGGTTTTTAATAAAGATTTAGAAAACCTTTTAAAGTTATTCTTAAAGTTAATAAAAAGATTTATAATAGTTTTAGAGTTTGTAGCAAGTAATTATTTTATTATAATAATTGAGAATTTTGGCTTGTTAATTAGTTGAACTGTTATTGTAAATATTATTTATTAATTAAATATTTGTTGCAGTTGATAAAATAATTTTAATTTATTGTTCCAAGATACAAGTTTATTGCAATCAATAAATATAATTAAATTTATGTATATAAAGAGATTATCAATTTCCAGTTTAAAAATGTTTAGTGTATTATTTGATTTAATATTAATTTTATATAATAAAATATGAATATATGTATAAATTGTTTGAAATTTAAATAAAATTTGTATTTAACTATTGTTTAAAGATAATGCAATCTTATCAATTATTTTTTCTATTAATACAGATATATTTAAAAGAGATTAAATGTTTTAATTTTTTAAATTAAGAAAAAAGTGTATTGTTATTATTATTTATTTGATTATTAAGCTTATTTTATAATATATAAAGATTATAATTCAATTTTACTTTATTGTTTTTTTATTATACTGATTCTATTATTGTCAATAATTTCAAAAATGTTTTAAAAATCTAACAAATTGAATGTTTCTATTGGCAATAAATTTAAAAGGAAGATATTATCTACAGTAGCTAATAAAATAAATTTACTGTTTTTATAAAACTTGAATATAACAATTTTTCTGCCTTTACTGTGCTATATTCCATGTAATCAAAAATTTTGAAATATTTTAGAATATTATAGAACATCTTGAAACTTCCTAGAACCTTATAAAACATTCTGAAATCTCTTAGAATAATATAAAACTTTTCAGAATATTATTAATCATTTATTGTTAATTATTATGTTTATTATTTTTATACTTATTTAGAAAATATAACATTATTATTAAACATGCATAACACTTATTAAATTATTATTTTTTTTTTTATATTTATAATACATAAAACCTTCTGAAAAAACCAATAAGAACTTATATATTTATATTATATATTTCTTCCTTTTTTTTTTAAGATAAAAATGTAATATCTATAAGATTTTTATTGATAAGTGCCTTATATCAATTACAGTTGCAGTGTTAAGATTTATACAAGTCAGTACATTATATACTCTATACAGATTATTCTCCATATTTCACCTTATATTCAATTGCTCAGTAATTTATTACTTTAAACAATTTCTTATATGGCTACTGAATGGGATCTTATAAAATATAGAAATTCTATTACTAGTTTTAAACTATCTAACTTATAGATTTAGTTTTGCCTAGAGAAGTTTTGATTAAAAAGGTTAACCAAAAATTTTTTTTTATCTTATTGCTTAGATCTCAGATCATATCTTTGCTGATTTTTAGATTTTTATAAGACTGGATTCTTTTTATTACCTATAGCTGATTCTTTTTTAAATCAATTAAGCTTTATACTGGATTGAAATAGTCTAGATTAGAGCTCTAATCACTATTGGAAACAAAGTGTCAATCGAATTTGATTAAAATAAAGTACTGTTTAGTCTGTAAATTTAAATATAAAGAAAATCTTAATTAGGAATGTTAAACACATATTCCTTAGCCTATTATATTGTCTAATCACTATAGGCATATCTTTAATGATTATTGTAACACCAATCAGATTATTGTCATACTATGATATTTTTTTCAGATATTACAATCTTGACATCTATTGGATCAATATATAAAACAGCTACTTATAAGAAATAGAATCTAACAGATTATAGTGCCAGTTGCCATATTAATTTTATTCAACCACCTTTATCTAGGATTGAATTGGTATCTTGTAATCTGATTTGTAAAGTACTAATTACTGTACTATAAATCCACAGATCATTATAATATATATTTTCATTTATGTATTTTTATAGATTATTTATATAACAAAAATAATTATTTAAAGAATATCTTTTTATCTTTATAATAACTCAGATTATATTTTTGTTTTTAAGTTGATAAAATAATTATTTCTTTTAAACTTGTGTTTTTTTGTGATTTTACTTTTGACTTAAATACAACTCATTGTTTAAACTGTTGCAATATATTTAAACTCTTATATTGAATAAGTTAATAATGATTCTAAAAGCTTTTGGACTATTGATTATTGAATATATTGAAGTAAATCTGACTTGAGAAATGTTTTTTAATTGAGAAAGTTTTGGTGTTAAGACTAGAAAAGATATAATAATTTTGTAAGTCTTGATTTTTTTTTAAATGATTATTGCTTTAAGTTTTGATATATTTATTATAAGGATGTTCAAAAGAATAAACTTATAGTTGGGGGATGGCCTTTAGAAAAAGATCTTTCTTTCAAATTTCTTGAGATTTTTTTTGATGAAAAATTTTTATTTTCTTTTTTGGCAATTTTTTTCAAATGCATATGTAATCAGAAAAGTTTTTTTTAAATAAAAAATTAATTATTTTTAAAATTTAAAATAAAATTTTGTAATTAATAAATCATCAAATAGATTTTAATAAACAATTTTTTAGATTTAAAAAAACATTTAAAATTTTTATTAAATTATAATAAATTAAAAACTTTTCACAAGCATTTATTTTCCATATTGTATATCACACTTGTAATGCTAATTTTATTATTATTATTATTTATTGATTTCTAACTAATTTGTCAATACATTAGTGTAACGGGATTCGCATAATTTTTTAAAAATCAAGAGGTACTTTTTTTTTGCCAGAACTGTATGCTGTATTATTATGCGCTTTCTATATGATTTGTTGATAGGGATGTTAAATAGTTTATTAAAAATAATCCGTTTTTATATATTATATTTTCTTTATTTGATACTAATTGAACATGTCTATGATTTAAATCAAATTTAATTACTAAGGCGCTCCGGACTAAATGCGGCTCCCGTTTCCCTAGTGGATTTATTTTTCCTAACGATTCGATTAATAGAATTCATTTGAAAAGTACAAAATTTTATGCATACATTAATTTTCATCTTAATCAAAATAAATACAACACACAGTATATTCATTAAGTTGTCTATGTGATAGTAAAAATTTACGTTGCAATGTTCAAGGACTGATAACGATCGGAATATCGATCGTTTGGAAAATAGTGCTATCTCTTGTACCTGATGAAGTTGGAGGCGTAAAAGAAAAAAAAATTATTCAAAATGCGAGCAAGTGAAAAGAAAGAAAATAAAATCGAGAATTTTATGCCAAAAAAAAAAAGTAATCGGCATTCAAAGCTTACCCGAGTTAATCAATTCACGCAACCCTGTAATTTTTATCCAAGAAATGGTTATTGTTTTTAATCTAAGCCCAGAAATAGAAAGAGAAATGAATGTAACTACTTACGAAGGGTGTGATTACCAGTCCTAGAAATAGTATTTGGACCTTTGTGGTCTGTTACTATTTGATATTCAGCTGGGCCACCAGTAATTTGCCTATTTAATATTCCGACCACGAGCTCTTGTGAGGGGCGGGGCGATAAATCCATGATTTCGATAAGTTCACAGTAAAGCTCTAGAATTTCAGGGCCTTGATAAACAGAAAAAATTTTGACAAATAAGTATTTATCAATCAACTTCGCGTTTATACATCGGCTAAATATTAAAGAAGTAACTTCAATACCTTGTGGTGCAGCGGTATCGATCTTAAGGGTTATAGGTTGACACCTCTTAAACACATCACCCGGCTTTGGTGATATGACTTCAACCTTGTAAAGGGGTTTCGTTTCTGTCAAGGCAAGCGTGTAGCTGCACAAGATGAAAAGTAAAAAAAGAAAAGTGCATCGAGTAAAGGAAGTCATTTTTTACTGTTAAGTTATATAAGTTATCAAAGTTCTTTTTAATCGAGTATGATGTTATAGGCTCAGGTATGGCGTCAAGAGTCAATTTATAAATATTTTTTCCTATCAAGATTATATGGACTTACTGTAATCAAAGTAGAAGTTTTAACAAAATAAATTTATGAATTATTCTTTGCATAGTTCGAATATCAAATATAGTAAATTTTTCTGGTGGCGTTTGCTCATTGTCATTATTGTTTTCTAATTCATTACAGTAATAGGAATTTCTAATTCCTGATATTTAACGTTATGTACAACAGACAAAAGAAAAAACTATGAAATTCAACAAACGAATAAATTGTTCGGATAAATTTAGAGTGAGCAAAAAATCTATAATAATTTATTATTGTTATTCGTCAATGCAGAAGCTCGACACGCCCACAATGAACGATGCAGACTAATCCAAGAAGTTTATGGTTTATATTATGTATAAATATTATCTGCTGTGTAAACATTTAAAAAAAGTTCAAACTCCTGAAAGACAACAATTTTACAATCGAGTCAACACAATCAAATATGCTCATAACAGTACCACCAAAACAGCAGTTTCACCCGATCGAAGAAACGGTTGACCAAGAATGATATTAAGCAAACAAAAAGAGGTTGATAAAACTATGTAGAACAGGTGAAAATGCAAACAAACAAAAAGCACTCAGCTGGCTCCAAGTAAGCTACAAGGGCAAAGGTAAATCTCCAAAATGGTTTCAACAACTCAAGGCAATAATTATCTTACCATGTATTACAGAAAACGCATTAATAATGAAAAAATACCTTCCAAAAAACCAAGGGCACAATAGGAAAAATTCGTGGCAACAACAATTAAAGGCAACATAATCTACGGGAAAATAGACTACGGACACGAGCGATTACATATAAGACGCTACGTACAACCAGCCAGAGACTCGCCAATAGTGATATGCCAGGAATGTCAACACAACATGAACCAAACACAACAGGGATGAAAAATCTGTATAGATCCGAGAGAAGCCACATCAATAAGATCAAACAAATTACACAACAGCATCACAGGGCAGCACAAAAGAGTACTGATGTCACCCAACTCATAAGAACAGAATTAAAAAAAAAGTCAGGAGGAGCGAAGAAAAAGTCAAAAACAAAGATCAGCTAAGAAAAGAAAAAGAATCAGGTCATAACCAAACAAGTAATAACAAGTAGCCCACAAAAAACAAACTTAGTTAAAAACAAATAAAATCAAATAAAATCATTGACAGAAATTACAGCATATACAGATGGATCACTAGAATAGAAAAAACAAACAAACAATATGGAATAGTCATAAGCATAAAAACAAAAAGACCAAAGAAAAAGCATTTTAGGTAAAAAATCAACAAAATAGTCATTATTTATAATAACAGAAAATATACTTCTCTATCAATAATTATAGACCAATGATTAAATCAATTATGATTAGTAAATAAAAAGAAATGTGAAAAACTAACTTTCATGTTATTATTAATAAAAAATGGTATAAATTTTACAATATTAGAATTTATTTAACTTATAGTTTCTGAAAATGATAAAATTTTCTTGAATTCATTTATTATCCTTTTACAATGGAGTCTAAATGTAAAAAATTATTATTTACTTTATTTGCAAGCCAATGCTTATAGTAACATATTTTAATTTTTTTTTTTTTTTTTTTTTTTTGTGAGGCACATCTCAAATTGTGATCTTTATTAATTGTTGATTCAATTTTTACAAAGTTAACTAAGTATAAAATTTACAACAATAGGGATATATTGAGGTATGTTGCTATAAACATTGGCCTACGCTATTTTAAAATAGATATATTCTACAAAACACTAGTTGGAAAAAGTAGAAGGAACTATCTATTTGTAAATGGAGGGATAATCCTCTCCATATTAAAGGACATAAAAGAGAAAAAAAAATTCAAATTTATTAAAAAAAGTGTTACCATAATAATCCTTCCTATTAGGTGTAACTGGTAAATTATTAGTGATAATAATTTCAGTAAGTATTAGCATTGGCTCTACCCTAAGCCTGCTGCCACTCTTAATAAGTCACAAACTTAAATTACTCACTTCAGTCAAGCATTAGCTGCTTTGTGGACAGGGCAACATGGGATGCAACTCCATTATTATAGTATTTGTTGTGATGTTGTTATGGTTGGGATAAATGATTGACATGGATAGTTTGGTGATCGGATTTAGAGTTTTTTGATTGGTGGTAGTCTTTTGACTGTTAAGAGTATTGATTTCAAGTTTGTGTTTGGACGTGAGACAGAGTTGTATAGAGTATTGATTTCAAGTTTGTGTTTGAATGTAAGATAGAGTTGTATGATATTTCCTGATTTAGGTTTATTTTGGTAATACTATCGAAACCCGTGCAGGGCACTGATCTCACACTCTTCCAATCCGGTAGGTTGTTGTATTGTTTTAATTTAATGAGATGAAACGAAGTGTGATTGATTGTTTGTGAAATGTAGATTTTTAGGTGGGGTGAACTAATTTTGGTTTTTTTGTGAGTGTAAGAGTAATATTGATAAGGACTGAGAACTAATCAGAAGATTATGATGAATCTGGCACTAGTTGTCATCAGCAGAAAACTAGTAACATATTTTAATATGTTATTACTGTAATAAATTTTTATATAATTTTGTAAATATTTTGTAAAAATTTAATAAAACAATAATTTGAAAAATATATTGTAAAAAAACAAACTTTTATTCTCATGAATTAAATAGTAATTGTTTTTTTTTAAAATTACTAATTGTAGAATATAATTTATTATTATTATGAAATAAATGTTTTTATTAAAAAGTTGTTATAAAAACAAAGTATTTAAAAAAAATATTATATAGATTATTAGAATTTATAAAATATATTAATTTATTTTTTTAATTTAATATATTATTGTTATTATTTTAAAGTTAATGATCTTTTACATTTAAAAAATAATTAAATATACTATTTTTTTAAAAATACTTAAATACATTAGAATCTGATCATTTTATTAATATATATTAATATATTAAAACTTATTTAAATAATTGATATGTATTATATGTGTAGATTAGTTTTCATATTTTATTTTATATATCTGATATCCAAAAATCTACTACCTAATAATTTTCTTTATAATATCAGGAAGTTATAAAAGATAAAAATTCTATTACTAGTTTTAAACTACTTAATATATAAAGCTTAATTTTTTTTATGAGTATATACTATTAATTATCTATATAAGTTACTTATTATATTATATTTTTTATTTATAAAGTATATATAATAATAAATGACCTATAGGTCCATAGTGTAGTGGTTAACACTCCACAGGTCAGATCACAAGATACCAGTTCAACTTCAGGTGAAAGCGGTTGAACTGAATTAAGAATAGTATCTGGAGCCATAATCTGTTAAGCCCTGTTTCCTATAGGAAGTCATTCGCACACTGATCCAGTGGGATGTTGGGATTGTGATCTTCAGAAAAGGTGTCAAGGTGCGACGGGTGGTTGAGCAACATGGTAAGCCAAGAGGCATGTGTTCAACTTCCTTAATCAAGACTCCCCTTGCGTTTGAGTGTACAGAC